AAAAACAAATGCACGAATAAGCTGTAAAAAATTAATGTGTACAAACTTAGTGTGGTAAACTGTTGTGCTAGCTAACGGATCTCAGATACAGTTACAAAGAAAAAAGTTTAATTTATACAATTAATGAATAATTAGTTAAATGTACGTAGATGTTAAAACACTCAGCGTATCACAGATTAATTAGCAGTTTAATAAACTTAACCATATATTTTCTTATTTTTTGTGGGCAGGAGACTCACCAGGTGTTAAGTGACACTGCCGCCTATACACATACTGTCAGATAGCTGGGTGCATTCCTAGCCTTTTAGGTATCCGTATGCTCTATTCCTGAAGGGTCCTAAATAGTGTAGGTTATTCAGAACCTCGCAAAGGCCCCACAGAGTGGTCGTTCAGTTGATGAACGACAAATCAAGGTGGTACTGGAATTTTGTATTTCATCAACGTCTGGTGATGGAATTCTTTACAATAACAACCTCTTGAATTTTGTGAAAAAGTATGAATGTTTATGTTTTAAAAGACAGCCTAGTGTAACGAAATGCTAGATTCTAATGCGAGCCTATTATTGGGCTAGTGGCTTTAGCGTGCGACTCTATTACTGAGTTCATAGGTTCGATCCCCGTCTGTGCGTCTGGACTTTTGTTCTGTGTGCGCATTTAACATTTGCTCGTTCGGAAAACATCGTGAGGAAACCGGCTTGCCTTAGACCCAAGAAGTCGACGGCTTGTGTGAGGTACAGAAGGCTGATCACCTACTTGCCTATTAGATTGATAAATGACCATGAAACAGATTCAGAAATCTGAGGCCCAGACTTAAAATGGGTTGTAGTGCCTCTGATTCTTTTAAAATACCTCTGTGTGCTAAATTCAATACGTTTTTTACGCTTTGAAACCGCCCTTGACCGCAACGCTCATTCCAAATTTAACTACAAAGCCCGAAACATCACAAAATGTATCTTAGACAGTGCATTAAACCAAAACAAATGAGAAGTACCAAACAAAATTTAATTATTTACCCTTTTCTCAGTTTTTTAATTTCTCCCAAGTCGTTTGCCGTACAAGTATAACCATATGTCAACTTGTTCGACCAGTTAAGTAAACTGCTTTAACTGTCCATTAGTTTTTAGGGTTCAGGAACCGAGAATTCTCTTAATCCTTCGTTAATGACGATTTTAGATTTCATTTCTTTGTTTTGATTTCATTTTCTATGTTGAGTCCTTTTAAAATAAATAATATTTGAAATGTAATAATTGTAGGTTGTCCAATATCGCATATATATCAAACTACATTTTCTATGTCACATACACATCATCTTAGGAAGTATCTGAATAATTTCTAAAACATTGTGTAGGTACGTATAAAATTATACAAGAAAACATGACATCACAAATTTAACACTTCAATTATATTGAAACATAAGCAACCTAGCAAGGGAAAGAATTGTTCACACAAAATAAAAATCATAACTGAAAAAGTAATAATAACTAAAACTTAATGAAAACTTTAACCTCATTAAAAGCTTATATTATTATCACAAACAATTAAAGATGTCATTTAATATATTTATTTTTGACTATAGCTTTATTTATGCTCGGAGATACATACAACCTTGCAGCACTACTTCCATATGTTACACAGTTAAAAGTAGCTAATTATATAAATAGTTAAAGGCAGAACCCTCACTGGCTGTGCAATACTGGTTATTCTTATTCGACTTTTTAAGGTCGTTCAGAAACCAGTTATTTTATAGAAAACATCGCAAAACGGAGCGTTTACTTGTAATTAATCTTAATAATTAAATCTAATTCTAAGTCTGCATCGTAAATCTTGGGTAGGTCTTTACAAAAATGCATTCGTTATGTAATTCGTAAATACAAAGTATTGTAGGATAAACTGTTCGCTAAAACTGAGCAAATAAATATGCTGTTTTGTTTGTTAATTGCTTAAACAAAAGACGAAAAACAAATGAATGTTTGTGAATGTAACTTGTCAATTCGCTAATGGAAGGTAAGTGCTTCCTAATATAATTATTAATTTGTGGTATGTACTCTTTGAATATATTTAAGTTAGCTGCCATTTAACAAATTCTAAATTGTAGTCATTTATTTGCATACGAGAGCGTGTTTGTTATATTATTTACTCCCTTCCACACTTGTACTCTTCAGACTGTCATATCAAGTTCACTAATTTGATAAGAGGTTATTAAAGTATTCCTTATAAGGAAAAATGGAGGACAATGGGGGCGGTCTTTGCCCGTAGGCACACAGAATCGGTTATAGTAGATTAAGAAAAACAATAACTATAATATATATCCATATGAAATTAAGTATAAGGTGATGTTGGAGCGGGTACAAAACACATTTTTGAGGCACATCTATCTTAGGATGTACGGTGTGTACCCTTTTTATCCACTCATGTATTCGACCTTATTTATTCTTGGTTCTGTGGGCAACAACGAGCTAAGAGTACGCCGAGAATTCGCGCTTCTGATGTACTTCATAAAATTGTTACATGGCAAGAACACTAATTCGGCAGCACTTCAGTACCTTAGCTTCAATGTCCCTGATGGGTACGTCAGAAAGTGACATCGTCCGCCGGTACTTCATGTGCCCACAGCTAGGACTAACCTTCTGAAAAGGGCACATATGATTCGGTGTATTAATTTAGTTAACGAATTACATAGGTTAACGGACCTTTTTCATTGTCCGTTGAGTGAACTGGCAAAAGTCCTATTATTTGTTAGTGCCTATAGTAATTAGTTAATTTCCTGTATTTTTTGGAGTTTACTCCTTAAGAAACGATCTGAGTTATAAGGCCCGGTACGGAAATTTTATGAGGAGTAAAATCAAGTGTAACACAAAAAGTTGAGGCGTTATGTAGAAAGAGACAAACATATATATATCTGTAGGATTGAAAGTGTAAAAGAATGAGATGGAATACATTACACAGACTTTTCTATTTTGAATTCACGTTTTGACAGCCACGTTACAACATTGTCAGTGTTGACAGGTGTAAAAAATAAAAGTAGATTGTCTAGCGTGCCATAGAGTTTTGTCAATAGTAATGGTCAGTGAAATTAAAACTAAAAAGATTGTTCATTCTTATTCTTCTCTTACTATAAAGGTAACTTTGGTCACAGAAAGAAAATCCTATTTGGGCATAGATGATGTAGGTACGTTTTATTACTACTACAAACATTTATATTATAAAAACATATATTCTTACCACCTTTAGTATGAAAATATGGTCGACAGCCACAGAACATTATCGCCATTTTATCGTTCGTAAGGAGCAAACTCCAATCGTGCATCGTAGCTGACACACACACACTTTATTATTATGTTATTTTGTTTTTCCTAATTAATTTCGTATGTTTGCTTATTTTTTTTGTTTCATCTATAAATTTTATTCACTTATTGTACACTCTTGTTAATTTAGGGTCGCCTGTTAGAGCAGGAGTGTTTTTATAATTAAATAAATATATATTTTGTATTTCTGATATAAGCCTATAAATAATTAAATAAATATTAAATTATTGCCACTTTTGTACATCAAATAAAATTTTCTGTGTAATAGTTGACAATTCCATCTGAATTATACTCTCTCTCTCTCTCTATTTTTATTTCTTTAAGTTATTTATATTTGTTGTGAAAAGTTAAGGTCTAAATACTCTCCCTCATTATAAAATCATTACATGGCAGTGACCTGCGGATTTCCTGACAATGTGTTTTCAACGTACGATCGAATATTATAAAGAAAAGTTGGACGACTTCAAGTATGAGAGATGTACGCTCAAACTACGCCAACATTGCTCTCACTATTAGTTTCCATGGCAGCTTATTTATGGGTAACAAACATGATCCTATCTCGGTAAACGTTTATATTAAAGCTGAGAAAGTTATCGATGATCGTTCAATTACATTTCCATACAAAATCAGAATGGAGGCGCTGTTGCAACATATGGAAACAATTAAGAGTAAAAAAAAAACATTCACTTACGAAAATAACAAATAGCATGTCACTAGCACATAATATTTATCTACAATCGACGTTCATTCGTAGATCATTTTTTGAATTGCATTTTGCGTTTGAGCACTTTGTTGATTGCTTTAAATTGGCAATCTCAATTCAATTTTTTTGCCCCATTCATCATATACATAGGACTTACTTGACTTTTCCATTTTGCTTTATTATTTTTAAAATATGTCTAAACAGCGTTATTTTTTTTATTGATAAAAGCTTGCCAACCCTCGGCACACCGATACAGTGGTAAAAGAACCACAAAATACAATTTTTAATGTGATAAGGACTTATAGGCAAACATGAGATAACAAATATTAAACAAAACAAAATTACAAAAACTAAACGAAAATCGATTTTAAAGTGTGAGGGTTCGGAATCGGGCAACAAATGAATGATGCAATGCCTGGGGATCTAGAGGGTACACGAAATCTAAATTATGATAAAAGGTTGGGGCAATCAACTTGGTTCTTAAATATCTTAAATGCGATGAAACGATACATCAACTATTTTCTATTTCTCACCAATGACAACACCTTGAAGTGCGCTAGACTGGTTTGCAATTTTATTTCGAGAAGCCATAGCCAGAAATGTAGATGCATATAATGAATTGTACAGGCATGGACGAGTATATGACGAACTATTTAAATGACTACTACACAATACTAAAAAGTAAGGATTACTTTTATCAACCCTTTATTAAATAAAAAGCTATGTCATACTTTTGGGCTTTCAGTGACTAAGTGGGAACACAGACAATTTGACATAATACTGGTTTCTACGTTCTCACCACCAAATCAACAAATAGAGCTTCTATATTGACTTGCTTCCCTAACCATATGTTTATCTTCCAGATAAGCGTACGCGCCAGAGCGCGTTGCGCCAACACAGGGGCACGGTCATTGTGTGTGGGGCACGAGCTATTAGCGGGCACGGTCAGTTGGGTTCGGGTAGTGGGGGCATGGGGCGCGCGGCGCGGGCGGGATGGCGGTGAGCTGCCCCGAGGTGATGTACGGCGCGTACTACCCCTACTTGTACGGCCGCGGCGCCGCCAGATCATTCCACCACGCGCCGCACTTTCAGTACGATCGGGTCAGTATTCACTTTTACTAATAGATTATAAGTTGTTTTACAGTAAAATAAGTTAGAATTTATTATGAAAAAAACATGTGTACTTATCTACACGCGTTAGAAGTTTTACTTCTTTGGCGTAACAAGATGAAAAGCTTTTCAAGTTTTTTATCTTTCGCCTTATTCTACGTTTGTAGAAAAAACGACACTAGAAAAAGGTATTTAATACATTATCTAGTTGAATAAAGTTTATTTAAATCTCACAAAAATAAATTCTACATAATTAAAGAAAGGACATTTTTTATTTTAAAATGTTGACTATGCTAACTTCAGGGTGTCGGTTTTTTGTGATTTTTTTGGATGCGCGTGCGGTGTGCAAAAAATTTACTCTCATCATTTTTTCCTAACGCGCCAACAGAATTACAGCTTCAAAAAGCCTCAGCAACTGTAATTGCATTCATTAAGCATCGATTACGTAAATTTTCACAGATACGAAAAACAGTATTCTAAATGTAATTTAAACCATATAAAATCGTTAATATTTAAAAATAATTAAAAACATTTTTATTTACTAGAAAACGTGGTGTAAGAACTAGATAACATCCGCTAAGTACCGAGGAATTGTTCATGTATCAATAATTTGTAAGTCTTGTAAGACAAAACGCTCATATTAGTCATGTTAGCGCGTAAAGAATTCGCGATTTACATACTCATTTGCATACAAGTATCGAATATGGATATCAAGTAGTACTTTTAAATACTTCAATGAGATTTTTAAGGTAACATAACAGTTGTTACTGTCTATTTTAACTGATTTCAATTATATATTATACAAATTAAATATTCAGACATAAACTATATTTTGTAGTCTTCACGTTGAATAAGACAAATAGGTTATATATAGGAATTTATTTTTGCTAGAAGTAATTTAGACATATGTATTTCATTTCCTGACTGTTATTTAATTTTTTGTCAGAAACTGACGGATGTTCTGGTTGATGTCATAAAAACACACCTTTTAAATTTTTAATCATATGATAACAGGGTTCGGTTTGCTTCTACAAATAAAGAGTAAAATCTTTCTTCACGGTATATTTGTAACATGTAGAAATTGGTTTTTTTCCACTTTAATTAAATACTTTAATAAAAGGAAAAACATTTTCATGTCTTAATTTCATTTCTCTGTCAACTAAATGGTGTTTGCTTAAATGATATTTATAAAATCACATATTTATTATTAGTAAATCACTGTTCAATATCATCTGATCCTTAAAGACACTGAATTCTGGAATTTAATTCAATTTAAAGTCTTTGACACTATGAAAGAGAAAACAGAGTAAAATGGGTCGCACCTTTATGCCTAGACTATAAAGATAAGCTCATTAGCTGTGATACCTGATACCGAGATTCACAGATAACCGCCACCTGTTACGTTATAGGTAGGTTTTACTAAAAACTAATAAAATTATAAAGTCTTTTCCCGGTTTAAAAATTAACATTTAAATAATGTTATATAATATTCTGTATTAGTACTGCCTACGTTTTTATTTGCTACTACTGTATATATTAATATCTGAAGTATGCAGCTTCCCATTAATATGATAAATTTATGACATTGACGGGTCACAAATTCACTTTAAAAGGGACAGAAAATATCCATCCATCCATCTGGTTGGTGAACGGCCACGTGGTCTTTGTCTTCTGTGTCGAACCACGATCAGTTTCTCCAAGTTCTCATGGCCTCTGCGCATTGTATGGCCGAAATAAGAAACAAATAGGTGTCGGCATATAGTAGCCAGGCGAGTCCCTATGTGGAGTTGGGTCTGGATCGATGTATTGGTGCTTTTTGCAGTCCGCGGTATTCTTAGTATATATCCAGCACCACATCAAAGGCATTGATCCTTTTTATTTTTGAAATGTATAGTACATTAAATTCAATGTGAAAAGCAGATAACAATTCTGTATCCGAACATGACGCATTCGTGACTGGCATGGTAAGATTGGCTAAAGCCTGCAACGAGTTGTTATTCTTGAATACCTAAGGTTATTTCCATTTCAATTTATATTCCTACTAATTAGTGAATTCATGTACTTTTATTAACCATACAATTATTATGCTTTGTTTTGAATTTTGTAGTTTATGAATGGTAACATAACAATTTTTTAAACCTCGGATCATCTACAATATTTTGTTCCCCTTTCTAAACTTACCTACTCTATATTGAAGCCTCGACTTGTTTGAGCTATCGCGAAATATGCTTAAAAGGAGTATTAAGAATATCCAAAGCGCAAAATCACCTGCATCATGAGCATACCCTCACACAGCGTAGTGGAATTAGATGTTACGTATATATTTAATATTTTTATAGATTTTTTCCTTTTGTAAATATTTGAACCTTTTTGAATATATTATGTATTCCATCTTTAGTTATATGTTTAGTTTAATTGGTTTTTTGTTGTATATCATTTATATTAGCTGTAGGATTAAGAAATAAATAAATAAAATCTACAAAACTAATTGAATAATGGCTGTAAAATGTATATTTATTCAATATAAGCACGAATGCTACTGGAATTAACCAGCTTACCAATGTTATTACCACTACAAATATTCACTAATACCAAACCTGGCAATAAAACAGTAATTATTAATTTATTTATTTCGTAATCCTACAGTTAACATAAATTATATATAATAACAAACAGTTACACTGAAAATATAGCCAGAGATGGAATACATTTAACTACAAAAAGGTTCAAAAATTTACAAAAGGAAACAAACAAATTAAAATTATTCAATACATTTAACTAAATGGTACCTAATTTGGCTGTGTTGTGTGATGGTGTAAAAGTGAGGGTAAGTACGTGAAGGTGTGTATGTGGGGTATGCTCATGATGGAGGTGATTTTGCGCTATGGATATTCTTAAAACTTCTTTTAGGCATATTCCGCGATAGCTTTAACAAGTCAAGGCTTGAATATTGGTCGTTATTCTTTACCAACTTTAAAATATAATAAATCAGTGGCTCTACAGTTTTTGAGGTCTGGGCCTGAGATTTCTGTATATGTTTCAAGATCATTTGTCAATCTAATAGACACACGCAAGACAGACTTTTTGGGTCTAAGGCAAGTCGGTTTCCTCCAATGTTTTCGTTCACCGTTTGAGCGAATGTTAAATGCACACATAGAAAGAAAGTCCATTGGTGCATAGTCGGGATCGAAGCTACGATCTCAAGTATGAGAGTCGCACACCGGAGCCACTAGCCCAACACTGCTCTTATACTAGCTTTACTCCAAATAATTTGCGCTTTTTAATTTGCTATAACATAAATCAAAAAAACTCAACTCTTAAAGTATACGATTTATGTAGGTACTTAATTAACGATATTTTATTCGTTGTGTAATTCCCGCATTAGGGCACTGTCGCATTACATCTGCAATAATTAAAAAGGCCTTGACATTAGAGCGGTAAGGTTCGCCTGAGAAAATATTACTCTACATTAATATTGTATGAAGAGCCCTTAGGGCTGCGTTTAGTTTATAAATTGTAAAATGCTCGTTTTGTTTTTATTTTCCCACTTTCCTTTAATAAAAGAGCGTACCAATTCTTAATAGGCTGGGAACGCACTTGCGAGCCTTCTGGTAATGTGAGTGTCCATGGGCATCACGAAACATCAGATAAGCCTGCTGCCCATATGCCTCCTGTTGCCATAACCACACGATGGAGGGATCTATTCAATTGTGATTGGTCATCAGCATCTTTACTCCAATTTTCTCATGCAAGATGATGCGTCACGTGGGTTTGACCAATCAACGTCGTTTGCCGATATTACTAGATTACAAATTCACAGTCTAATTGATAGTCTGTAATAATAATTTAATAATCATTAATAATAAATCGGCCGATAATAATATCGACCATGGAATAAACATTAATTTTTAGATCTAGCAACATTTTTTGATTTGACTTTGATGTTTTTAAATTATAATGACAATGGCAGGCGGCAGCTGACATAAACGCCCTTATTACAGACTATGAAAAAGCTCTGTTGTTGATAATTTACCAGCTCTGTGACATATTGGCAGCTGACACCAGCGCCATTGCTCTGACATACATTATATTTTCAAATCTCGAATAATCCTCGAAATATGTTTTAAATACAAGTTTATAATTTTCACATTGAAGTGGTATAAGTGAATCAATGGTCAACCCTATAGACCAGAGCAATACAAGTGATTGAGGAAATAATTGATGTGAACATTAGTATTGATATATCACGATTTCTTGTTATAGTTTTTCCTATGTTATGTAATATTAGTCTTTTCCTTCTTTAATCGAAACATTTATTAACAGGTATGTTATAAATATATGCATACAGTAAACTACAATTTACTGTAATAATTGACCCAGTGAAACTAAAACCGTTTTCTTTTTAGGATTTCTGTATGTTTGTGTTGTGTTTTTTAATGGACAGATATGTGATCAGCCTTCTGTGTCTGACACTCGCCGTCGACTATCTGGGTCTAAGGTTGATTTCCTCTCTAAACGTTATAGGAAAACTCCTTTACCATACCAGGCACTAATGCGCACTTAGACAGAAAAGTCTATTGGTGGCGCGGTTCAAATCAACGACCTCAGAGATGAGAGTCGGTGATACCACTGCACTGCATTAGTGATAATTATAGTTTATACATATGAAAAAAAAAATCTTTTTTGGTTTTAAATTGTCTCTCTCTTGTTGAACACGTACGTGCAAATATATATAAAAGAAACATAAAAAAATTTAATGTGATAAAAAGTATTTTCTCATTAGTGTCTCGTGAGTTGCCAATAAGTATAGCAAAGCCAATAGTTCACATTATGTACTAAATATTCAAGGTATGTTTAGCCGTACCTGTCACTACTAATTCATACAATGCATTACCGGAAATCACATTAGCCAACTATGATATTCCTAAGATAGTAAAGACATCGGTTCTGTTTTGGCTATGTATGGCAAAACGTTGTCTGTTATAATATTTATAATAATGTATTTATTTCAGATTTTATTCACATAATTTACTATTTTTTATTGTATAAATAATAATAATTTTCTTTATTAGTTGAACGTCCAAAGTGCGACCAATGCGGGGGACTACAGCGCGGCCGGTGCCCTTAGTACGGGCTCGGCATCCTCCGGTGCGCACTCGCCCGCCTCGCCGCCGCATGCTCATGGGCTCCATACGGCCCACACAGCCCACGCAGCACATGCGGCCCATACGGCACACGCGACTCACACGGCCCACCCAACGCACTCGGCCCATTTGCACGCGCACCATGCGCATTCGCCAAGGTTGCGTACTAAGGAGGAGGAAGGAAGAGCTAGCGCCGATGGTAAGCTTGTCAACTAAGCTGATGCATAGAATAATAGCGGTAATAGCGGAAAGGATGTATTGCCCTTACATGGGTCTTGGCAATGGACTGCATGTGCCCTTTTTAATTTTGTGATTAGTAGTTAGAGTTAAAGTATATTCAATACTTTAACTCTAACCTGTTTCGCTAGTAATTTTATTTTCATTTTTGGTTACATTTATGTTTACTATAATTGTCATATTATATATTTTAGAAAAGATAGCTTGTAAATATACTCCGACTATGTATATGCGCGTTCTTCCCACGAGAATGTAAGTGCGTGTTCCTATATTTTCACCATGCCTATTGCTGATAGAGGACAAATCTTTGTTTTTAATTTATTTTATTAATATTAATAATAACTTAAGATGTCATGTGGAACATGGTGTAATGGTTGCAGCTCCTTACAAACATTGTGTAAAACAAAAAACTTGCCGATTAAAAAGAGTGGCGGAGAGTTTATTGACAGTTCTTCTCCTCCGTTCTATGCCCTTGATTTGAGAACTGGCAGTAAAGTAAAATTAGAAGCATTTCATATATATTTATTTTTTGATGTTCATAAATGTATATTTTGTTACCTATATGATTAAATGACTTTGAATTTTTGAATTTTGAACTGTAGATATAGCCTTAATGTATGATGTCACCATCAATAATTAAGTAAATAACCTACTTATATATTATTTATAATATTGGAACTAACACAATAATAACCATATTGACCATTTGCTTAAATAAATAAATAAATATTATAGAAAGGGATACTGATGTTTCACTGACGCCATTACAGCTTTTTTTAAAGAATATCTACTGTCAATTGTCAAAAAGTAAGACAAAGAGGAATGGAAAATATGGAGAAGGCTTTTACAAATACAAATAGTACAGCACTAACTATTAAATTTTACTAAAGAAATGTAAACATTTCTTATTTGAATTACTTAATAAAGCTTTAATAATAAAGCTAAGAAGTTGGTTTTATAACAATTATATTTGCACGTGAATTGAAGCATCAATTATATGAAATATTTTCTATATATATAGGTACTTGACATATTTATAAAGCACTCTTACACTAAAAAAATATTTTATTTATATAAGTATAAAACGTAAAACTGGATGTAACAATGGACTTTTTAAGTAAATTAAATATCTATTTATTACAAAAAAAATAAACCAAAAGTTGTAATGTCAAAAGAGATAGCTATTAAAAAAAATTATAACAACGTCTTAAGGCGAAAAAATACAGATCCCTTTGATTATTTAACTCATATATATTATGTATACCCAGGCGGCGGCTCATCCGAGTCAGAGGGCGAATGTGCGGCGAGTGGGCGTGCACGTGCGCAGTACGTCAGCGCCAACTGCGTGGTCTTCACGCACTACTCAGGCGACGTGGCAGCCGTCGTCGACGAACACTTCACCAGGGCCCTTTCCATTGACAAGCCAAAAGGTAATTACAATTCACAAGAAAAAATAGTATTACTTACATATTTTCCAAAGTTGCTTCCACTTTTCAATATCTTTCTTTTGCTAAAATAAAAAAACGTGTGTGCTTCTGTACACGCGTTAGAAGTTATACTTCGTTGGCGTAACGAGATAAAAACCTTTTCAAAATTTTTACCTTTGCCTTATTCTACGTTTGTAGAAAAAACGACACTGACAGAAAAAAATACTCTCATCATTTTTAACCTAACGCGCCAAGAATGGTCATTTACAAACAAACAAATAATATCTTGTTTTAGGAACCAGTTTTATGAGCAGATCTTCTGATTTATTCCTTTCTTATTCTAGCCCGTTCTATCCTGGCTAACCTGCTCCATCTCTGCGACAGACCATCTGCCCATCTTTTAACTTGACGTCCCCTCTTCCTCTTTCCTTCCCTTGGATACCAATCTAATACGCATTTTGTCCATTTCCCTGATTTTTACTTCTTTTCCGTCCATTTTATTTCTTGATTTTTTTGGAACGTCATTTACTTTTGTCTATTTCTGTATTCTTGTAATCGTCCTTGTCATGTAATTTTATGTTTAGTATAGTCCATGTTTTGCTACAAAATTTTAATTAATAGTACTAATCCATAGTAGAAGCAGAAAAATCCATTGAATATCTAAATGAAAAACAAGTACCAGTTTCTTTGAATACAGGCTTCAAAGGAACATATATTCATTCCTTATAATATAACCCCGCCTCTCTAAAGCGTGTAGCGTCTTTGTAATGGTTATTAACTGGACGCAATAACCCTTATTAGGTCGGGGCCTCAGATTTGTATACGTTTCATGATCATATGTCAATCTAATAGCCAAGTAGGTGATCTCTCCTGTGCCAGAAACACGCCGTCGACTTTTTGGCTCTAAGACAAGCCGGTTTCTTCACGATGTTATCACCGTTCGAGCGAATGTTAAGTGTGCACATAGAAAGGAAGTCCATTGGTGCACAGCTGGGGATCGAACCTATGACCTCAGGGATGAGAGGCGCTGAAAGCCATCAATGCAAATATACCTATACTCAATTTATTTGTGACCAATAAAGGATTTAAATGCAACCCTAGTTATAGATTAAACAAAAAAATTACATTGATTCTGCGCAATTCATACATTAAAAGCTATAGGCGATTGCGCGTGACATTATGGTTCTCACGCGTGACGGAAGAGATAATATTATTCCGCAGGTGTCGCGCAACTTTACGGCTCACAAAAACAATACGTCATGCAATAAACATACAGGATCAATCGCTTCACGCGAATATTACGTATTATTACTAACTTTTACTCGCACTTTTCTGGTTCACTGAGTGTAAATGAAACGTGTACGTAATGTATAAACTAAGCACGATTAATGTTCGTTATTTGGTGTCAGTCATCTTCATGAGTGTGACACAAGTGACATACGAACATAGTGTCAAACCATTATAGAACACTAAGACTGTTAAAGAACATTAACATAAGTAGTTTAATTTATATTTGACGCTGGCTAATGCACAAACGGTGCCAGTCCCATAAAGAGAAAAAAAAACATAGTTTAAGCTATTCACTAGTATTGTAGAAACTTAAGTCTACATAATATTACTTATTAGCGATAATTATTGTATGGGCTTGATTGTAATTCATATAAAGTTGCACTCCCTTTTGTGAACCTTTTGTAATAAAAAATCGTGACTATTTAAACAATGAAACTAAAAAAAAAACATGTTTATTATGGAACATAAGATACATGTATCACTTATTCCACGTCATTAAATTTGAACTTTTAGGCATCCCTACTCATCGGCAAAGAAGACAGAGGGTGTAGGCCGAGAGAAAAAGCCGGCGTAAAAAACTCTCGGTACTCTTTTAAAACAGCAAATCATCAAACAACACTTATTTAAAACAAATATCGCAAATTAATTAGAAGTAGCCTGTCTAGCACTAATCCCAGGCCCTTTTATCAACTAGATAATCGTTGACTTTATAGTAAGCCTTTTTACACAGCTTTTCTTTAATACATTTCTTAAATTTATTGAAAGGCAGTGATAAAAGAGCCTCTGGGATTTTATTAAAGAAGAGTATCCCTTTCCCCAAAAAAAGAATTACTAACTTTAGATAGTCTAGTACGGGGAAATTGCAGCCTGCGTTTGTTCCGTGTATTAACATTGTGCGTATGTTCTATTCTAGTAAACTTATCACTATTTTTGTATACATACATAATATTTTCATAAATATATTGCGAGGGAAAGGTAAGTATATTAATTTCCTTGAATTTATCTCTAAGAGATTCCCTACATTTTAAATTATAGATTGCACGAATAGCCCTCTTCTGCAGGATGAAAATAGTTTCGACATCAGCAGCATGACCCCATAATAATAAGCCATAAGTCATTAAGCTATGAAAGTAACTAAAATAAACAAGTCTAGCTGTATCGACATCAGTTAGTGAGCGAATTTTTTTAACCGCGTAGGCTGCAGAACTAAGTCTCTTCGCCAATCCGTTAATATGAGGGGACCACTGAAGTTTTGAATCCATGGTGATTCCGAGAAATACAGTTGTATCATCCAGATTCAATTCCTCACCGTTTATAATTGGTCTAGTATCCATAACCCTTGCATTTTTTGCACAAAATTTAATGCATTTTGTCTTTTTTGCATTAAGTAGAAGGTTATTCATACTAAACCAATGGACAATCGAAGACAGAGCATTGTTCACATCGTCAAAATTTGTTATTTGTCGTTTGATTTTAAAAATCAAGGACGTGTCATCAGCAAACAAAACTATCTGATGTTTTCTCTCTACCATGAAAGGTAGATCATTTATATAAACAAGAAAGAGGAAAGGGCCAAGAATTGAGCCCTGTGGTACCCCCATATCTACTGCCGACCCAGAGGACCTCTTACCATTCACTTCAACCTTCTGAGTTCTTCCGTGTAAATAGGAAGTCAGAAGATTCAGTGCGGTATTCTTGATGCCATAGTGGCGGAGTTTCCCAATTAAGGTCTCGTGTTGGACACAATCAAATGCTTTGGATAAGTCGCAGAAAACACCTAAAGCGTCATGCGACTCCTCCCAAGCCTTAACTATATATCTATTTAACTCAACACCGGCATCGGCTGTCGAGCGACCCTTGGCAAAACCGAACTGATTATTATGTAATAATTTGTTTACGTTAAAATGACTTACCAGTTGATTTAATATATTTTTTTCAAATATTTTACTACATGTAGGTAGTACGGAAATTGGTCTAAAGTTACTGGGGTCGGACATACTACCTGCTTTAAATAATGGAATAACTTTACTATGTTTCATTAGATCGGGAAACTCGCCACTTTTAATACAATTGTTGAAAATTATAGCTAGATGGGGAGCAATTACATCAATTATGAAACTCTATTTTCTACACTTTTAATTTTACGCAAAATGGTACAAAGGTTTCTCCACTTGTTCAACGCCCTTTTGAAAAGGTGTCTAATCTATCTTTATCAAAATCTTAAAGCAAACAGTTCAGTAGGTATAAAAACACCGTCATCAATATTTAAACTTAAATATTTACGAAATACAAAATAGTTTGAAATTATTGCTTTGGTCTTATTTATAATTATAAATATTGTTATGTATAAAGAGATATCTCCTACTATTAAAGGAATAATCATAAAATAAATTACAAAGAACAATTTACTCAATAAACGTGAACTATTGTGCAAAAGGTATATTTAATAAACAAAGTACATAAAGTTGCAACTGCCCAATCTGCTCAACTGCTGTTGGTCGGGCAGAACCAGAAACCAAAGACGAAACGATAGCTCAATTCGCTCAACCGTGATTAGTCCACAGTGTCTTTGGTCCAGACACGCGCCATTGTTTTGTCTTTTGACATTCCAACTCCGAACGGCCAGAATTAAATACTGTGTTAATAGGAGTAATATATACTATATTCAGCCAAGGCGCGTTTCTACTTACTCAATGTATAATGTGATTGTGTATGGCCATTGCCCATATATAGGATGATTATGATTACATCACTAATTGGCCGTAATTATACCCGTGGCGCGACATTCTTCGTATTGATTACATATTTATAAGAGGATTTTTGTATAATATCGCTAATTTTTTATATCACAATTTGATTCAGCAACTGTTGGGCGTTTATGTACGTGAACCATTGGAAGATAGGCAGCTGAGTTTCATCATCAGACGTCGAGGCAGAATACAAAATTCTAACCGTATCACTTCGACGTCCGTCGTTTTACTGAGCGTTTTTCAAGACAGTACCACCAGCTGCCCACTGAAGTATTTCCGAACCAATTCGACTTAGGGTCCTTCAAGAAAAGAGCGTAGCAATTCTTATAAGGCCGGAAATGCCTCGTGAGACCTCTGGCATTAACCGACCATGGGTGGCGATATCACTTAACATCAGCCTTCTGCCCGTTTGCCCCCTGTTCCAAAATAAAAAAAGGCAATTTTGCTACTGAATACGATAATTAAAAATTATTTACAATTTATGTACAATTTATCATATAACTTATATTATTATGATATCTTTCTAAATACAGAAATACACTAACAATACTAAATCGCTCACTGTATATATTAGTAAGTAAGTACCTGTAGACTTTTGTTACGTATTCCTGATTGGTGTTTGGTATTCGGTCCACGTCTGAAGACGCGGTAACCTCTCCCCCTGGTAATAAATTATCGCCAAATCAAATTACTTTTCAGTCGTTTAATTAATTGAAGTTGTGTTGTAGGTACATCAGAGTTATCTATTAAATAAAAACTATTAATATTAATTTTATGTAGATACTCTTTCCATAACTGCGCAATTAATTGTATTTATTATATTTAAACTAAAACTTAAATTACAAATCATAATTGGACAAGTGAGTATATCCTATCTATGAATTCGTGTTACCGTAAGGAATATATTGAATTCATATAATATCCAAATAAGATCCACCTTCTATTATGTCAGGTTGGTTAATTATATATTATATATAATTAATTTTAATCTTTATTAAATTAATAAATTGAATTTGCAACTTTGCTTTGCTAAGTAAAATAAGGCTTCGTTAAATCTACTAGGGGCACAGAGTGTGTGAAGAGTTCAGACTTTAGAATGTAAAGTATGCGGCGGGTGGTAGCGTCCAGTGATTCCGAGTATCGATCACACCTGGCTCGCCCTGTTCTTTGGACTAAGCATTGAACCTACGTGTGAGAAAAAGCGCTTTACACCATTGTTTTTAAGCGCTTTATATTGCGCAAGCATTTCTAAAAAAATAAATATTATTGATACTTACGTATAATGTACATTGCACATGCGTACAGCTACTTTTCAAATATTCAAAAAAATATTTTCTGCATAGTCTGTTTATATACCTAGCATTTATAGCTTTGGCAATCAAAAACTATAAACTTATATAATATATTAATAATAGATTATAATCTTTTAGAATTGCTGTAACGATAAAAATATAAAAACAGCGGAAAGCGCTAAGTTGCTACGCTTAGGACTCGTTTTCCCTCCCGTCCATCACAATACCGCGAACCGCTCGCAAAAAGTAGAAGTACTTCGTAGAAGCGCTGTTCCCGGGAATAACCCACTAGATAAATCAGTCTGCCTTAATTAAACTCCGTTTTAATTGCGGGAATAGAGCCTCCCTCGGTACAACCACACCCTCCGAAGTTATAGCTACCTGGTACCTACATAGTTATAACACGGGCGGACACTTCATTTGCCTGCGTATTGTGCTCGTTCAGCTATACCCCGTTGAGTTTATTGAATTAAGTCACAGACTCGCTCGATTCCAGTAGTTCATGGTCTACTTCATTGAGTATATCAATATTTCATAGTAAATTTGGGCTCCCATTTTTGTCTGATTTTCTGCCAATCAATTTAATTTCTAAGATTTAAATTCCTCATGTTGATTCGCAATGCCACAATGACGCAATGCGACCGGTCCCGATTAAAAAGTAGGTCGTATGTGGAGGACATATCTGCGATTAGATCGGAAAAGGGCCCATTACTTAAACGCTGGCCAAAGGAACCGCCCGGCAAAAACTTAGCACTCTCGGCTTTGTCGAGTTTTGTGCCGAATGTGCCGGACGGAAAAAAGCCGTACTGCCGGCCGCTAATGACGAGAGTGTTCGTGATACTATTCGGTGCGAATACATTACTAAAACATAATAATTCCTTCTTTTGTCTTAACGATTTAACAGTATTCCGCTTTAGATTCCTTGCTTTGATTCCGTGTACTTGTAATTAGCTTCCGAGAAGGGTTCCGATGTTTTGAAATTTGCGTTATGGAATGTGAACGATAAGAATTCGTTAGCAATTGAAACCTTATGTTTACCTGTTATTTCTTTTAGTATTTTCTACTTCAGTCTGTGGCATGAGTGTGTTTGATATATACTGTCGAATTGGATAAAAAAATCTCCGTCCTTTGTATAGTAGATATTCAGGCGTGTAAAAACTTAACTGCGTATTATTAATAGGCAATAGTTAATAGTATTAAAAAGCCGCTTTTGGATCAATGTAGATAAGTTTTCATTTGGTATTCCGTTAAGTACAATTGTTTTTCAAAATCTATACAGAGTATGTTTCAACGCATTTCATTTAGGAGAATCAAAAATCAAAAAATCTTCATTATTTGTGAATATTTATAAGTAACTAGATAAAAAGCTACTTTTTATGTACGTAGATAATACCTAAAGCTAAAGTAAATAGGTAAATTCCTAAATGTGATTTAAGTAGAGGGCGCATTATGTACGTGCGGGCGCTCCCACGGCTCGCATTCCGAGAACGCAGCCTTATTTTATTGTCCCATCGGAACAGAGACTCGCCTTTGATCTCTTATCTCATCTCTGTATAGTGTCAACTCGTTCTATACCTAATAGTGTTTATTTTTACCACAACGAAACAATCCGGCCGCAGTCGCCATTCTTTTGCTTTTTACACGATCGACTCGGCTTCTATGTACGTCCCGCACTGGGTTTACTTTTCTCCGCTGTTAATTAGCACTTAATATTCTAGAAATAAATTTATCTAAATCGATCAGTATATAAATGTAATTCAAATGGAATATTATTGTATTTTAACAGGCTAAGTCTATATAGCAATACAGCGCAGTTTTTTTTTGCTTTATAGAGAGTTATTTATTTACGGTACATGCTAAACAATAAATCCCTGTGGCACTGTACCTTTAACACTGGTAGCAGTTCCTCGCTTTATTGCGATCCTTATTCGTTGAGCGAGGAGAGCACCAGCTCTGGGGTCACTGGTACTATCTACCAGAAGCCAACTTAAATCTTAAATTAGCCGTAGCCGCCTGTGCACTTGAAACCCATGGCCCAAAAAAAAATCCAATTAAAAAAATAAAATATCTTTCATTCTTTCATTCTGGGGCAGAATTGAATACCCATATTGTTTCCCCATACCAATGGTTGCTTTCCATGTTGTGATTATATGAAAAGGAACGGAACATTGTATGGACAGAGTCGAGTAATTTCGTAGATTGGAAGTTTAATATTAAACCGAGCGACACCAAAGACTACACTGTATTTATTTTCATTGTAACTACCTACTTCTTTATTTTTATCATTATAATCACTATCAAATACATAAACTATTGACTGTGATACTTAGGAATAACGTACTAGATGGATTGAAAATATTAATGGCGGTACACTAGCTCCACGCTTTAGATTGGATGCAGTTTCATTTAATGGTCTCGTCTGCAAAGTAGTATATCACTAAATTGTATCCGGTGCAGTGGCAGTAGTCTTGGCCTGGTTGGCTTAGCATTCGACCCTCATCCCTGAGGTCATGCGTTCGAATCACGGATTTGCACCAATAGAATTTGTGTTCCAATGCGCAATAAGCACTTGCTCCGACGGCTAAGGCAAACACCGTAAGGAAACCAGCATGGCTCAAACCCAAATATCCATGACGTGTCAGACACAGAAGGCTGTTGTCTGTACTACTTGTCTAAAAAATAAAAATGGTCGAAGAAACTAACGCTATCTGAAGCCAATATCCATTTAGTGTTATAGCGCCACTCTATTATTATTAGTATCGTTTAGCAGTATTGGCCTAGAGGCTTCAGCGTGCGACTCTCATCCCTGAGGTCGTAGGTTCGATCCCCGGCTGTGCACCAATGGACTTTCTTTCTATATGCGCATTTAACATTTGCTCGAACGGTGAAGGAAAACATCGTGAGGAAACCGCATGTCGGTTCTTAGACCCAAAAAGTCGACGGCGTGTGTCAGGCACTGGAGGATCACCTACTTGCCTATTAGACTTAAAAATGATCATGAAACAGATTCAGAAATCTGGGGCCAAGACCTAAAGAGGTTGTAGCGCCACTTTTTTTTTTTATTTATCGTTTAGCGAATAACGCAAATTTATTAATTTGCTCCTTACAATTTTGCACCTTCATAGGTTTATAAGTAACAGTTACCCCAGTCCACTTAAGCCGTGTCACAATTATCAGAAAACAAGAAAAAGATTCATAGAAACGGAAGCAAGAAGCTCTTAGTTAGATATTTTTTATAGTTTTTCGCACGTAGTTAGGGGAATGTCACGCATTACACGTCATTTACTTCATTAGTTGAGACGGACGCCTCGTTAAATTGCTTTTTACGCAATAATTACGTTTTCAGAATTAAATTTGTCAGCAATAGACATTGCTTAGGTGAAGGAAACGGAGAAAGAGGGTGTATGATGCGGCAGGATATTTTTTATTGGTTCATAATGATTGCGATATGGTTTAATTATAAGATTATTGGAAACGTTAGGTGTATAGGTAGTGTATATGACAAGTCTAGCATCGTATAATCTAATATCTATTTGTAAACATATTTTATTCATCGTCAGAAGAAATAGAAGATAGTATCTTAACTTATTTGTAAAAAAATATAATTAATAAAACTAACTACTTCAGAATTTTTCATAAAGTTTTATGAGGGTGGTATACAAATAAAATGAATAAAACAACCTTTTTAGGTCTGGGCCTCAGATTTCTGTGTTCACCTGTTTCATGATCTAATAGGCAAGTAGGTGATCAGCCTCCTGTGACTGACAAAAAGTTGACTTTTTGGCTCTAAAGCAAGCCGGTTCCCTCACAATGTTTTCCTTCACCGTTCGAACTAATGTTAAATGCGCACATAGAAAGAAAGTCCATTGGTGTACAGCCGGGGATCAACTTCAGGGATAAGAGTTGGACGCTGAAGCCATTAAGCCAAAACTACTTTTGAGGCATGAAGGTGGTATTATCCTATAGAATTAAACAATTAGATTTAGTACTAAAATAGGCAAACTGAAATACGCCGTTAGAATTGTTTGTGTGTATTATTATTTCAACTGAACAGTGTATAGCGATTTCTTGTCACATTATATCAAATACACAAATAAGTTATAATTATAATTAATTTATATAATGTGGTTATAGAGGCTGTCCCGATGGCATCGCGCAACCTTCCCGCGTCGTTCTTCAACGCAGCGGCGTCGGCTCCTTCGTGTTCAGGACTTGATCTCTACGAATATGACCCTTGGCATCAACATTATGCTGGGTAAGATCTGTACCTTATGTGTTTACTTTACACATACTGTTAATGCACAGACATTTACAACAAATTACTTCAGTGTGAAATTGGGTTTACTACAAAGAAATATGTTTTAGTTTTTCAAAACAGGTTAATCAAACTGATTTAGTTGAGTTATAAAATATGCCAATCTACGATGATTTTTTAGATAAAAATCATAAAAATGATTAAATAAAACAAACAAAAGTATGTCACAAAAGCGTTAGTAATAATTAATTATTAAGTTGGCGACTGCTAGATAGTACCGGTGAACCCAGAGCTGGTGCTTTTCTCAACTAATAAGTTCACAATACAGCGAGGAAATGCTGCCAGCATTACACAGTCACAGGGACCGACCTTTTTTATTATTATTACTATGAAGGTCAAGAAAATAGTTAATACTGTATATTTGTGTGTTGGAAAAAAATATTGTCAATTATAGTATTATTTCCATCGCATGATAAATCAAATGATTGATGTTTAATATTGTTTATACTTCAGCTACGGTCACGCGGCTCACAGACACGCGGCAGAATACCACGCGGCCGCAGCACACCATAACATGGCGGCGGCAGGCTACGGAGGGCTGCTACTCGGCCGGGGATCCCTCCACGCCCAGTACAAGCCCGTGGAGTGGGGTCACGCGCATCATGCGCAGCATCTCGACCCGGCTGCTTGCTCACCTTACTCCTACCCTCCACCTGGTATGTGTACCTACATAACTAGTTTAAGCCATAGGTTTAATTTACGATCGTAGACAACAGTAGTTCCAGAAATTAGGGCGTTCCGTAGCGTAGTATAAATGTAATCCAGAATTTAGTTGTGTTAATTACGAATTAGAAAAAAAAATAATTTCCTTATTTATAAAGAAATAAATCAGTATTGTGCACAATTTCACAGTGTTCAAAACGTAATCAGACCCATTAAGTTTTTAGATAATCATATTCCGAAACCAAGAGATTATCTCATATTTATTTTATTTATATATTTCGTTGCTAGTACACAGAAATATAGTACAATTAACATAATTAAATAAAAAGGGCGGCCTTATCGCTTTCGAGCCAACTCAAAAAGATATTCAATTAGATTAAGTACCTACCTAAGCGTAATAAGCGCAAAAATACATAAAACATACGTACCTATAGACAAAACTTATGGAACAAAGCAAAGCAATATATTATATATACCTACGTATAAACAGTGAAAAGGACATTAAAAAAAAGGACAGATGAAAAAAGAAAAACTGCACATGAAACATCATCATAACTAAATATATATATAGATAAGTGAAACCAAACTTCATATATTTTTCGTTAAAGTAATTGTTATGTACAAATAACTTTAAAATCATATCATAACAACATAATAGAAAAATGATTATAACTAACTTATAAACCGTTTAATTGAATGCGGTTGTGAAATGACAGGTCGGTTTGTATAATTACGCATTTGAAAGCAAAATGCCCTCAAACGTTACCCGTAAAGGAATCCCGCGTCTTTGCTTCGCCGCTCTTTTTCTCAACATTCCTATCTCATTCACCGCCTTCATAAATACTCTTTCCATTCTATTTTACATCACTATTATATAGCTTGTACATCTCTTTGATATATATATATACATTTTCCTTATAAAGGCGGGGTTAACTAAGCTTATTCTAACAAAGAATTTTATTATCCTAGACATAGATTTATTTATTTATTCACAAATACATACACTACTAAGTACTAAGCCGATACGATAATGACGATTTTTTTTAAATAAAATATATAATATACTAAATATCGCTTCTGTGCGAACATATAAATATGTTATGCAACGTCTTTGTTAACGGGGATCTGTGCAAGAGACTGTATATATATATGTTTTTATACAGATAACCTAACCTCGAGACTTTTCACATCTAAGATATAATACTTCCTATCTTTGTAATATTACAGTTGATTGCGGAGTTATTACAACATATATATATGCTATTCAAAATTATCTATTATATTCCTTCTTCTAAAGCTATTTAAGTTTAAAGGAAAATATAATAATAAAGAGATAGATAGCTCGATATTCTTCGTATATTAGATATTATCCTTGTGTTTTTAAAATAGCTGCTAAGGTCATATATATCTTAATTTAGACACTGTTAGTAGATCAAATGCAGTTCTGAAAACATGTCCAATACTTTAAAAGAGACAGAAATTAATACATAACGCGGATACAAATGAAAAGGAGCATTTGTTATATATTTTATTAACAATCGCTTTTAGCGTGTCTGGAGCGCCATTAATTTCAGCCATTGAATGATTACATTCTTCCTGCGTCGACTAAGTCATGTCGCTATCAAAGACTGTGCGATGAAAGACTGTAATAAATTACTCGGTTAGGCCAATTACTAACACGGCTACCGTTTTAGAGAATCGTTCTGTAGCTGATAGAAGATATCTGAACGGCTACATGATATTATTAGGTATTTTTATTAAAGCGTGAACGTGCAGAGGCATGTATAATCTGTGTAATTTACGTAAGTAAATGACATTTGGTATTCGGAATAGTTCTACAATGAGTGGCAATTCTGTAGAGCCGAAAATTATATTAATTTAGTTGCGTCACGGGTTCAGCCAGGGCTTGAGTCTGAATGCTGGGTAAGCAAATATCATTAGTCAATAGTCTAATATAAATAAGTTGTCAATTGTCAATTCTCAGGGCTTATGTTATCTGTCACTAGCTATAAGTTCGCAAGATATCAGACGCAAGGATCGATAGTTGCTCACACTTTAAAATCGGTTTTCCTTCAGTTTTCATAATTTAATTGTTTTTATGTCTACGTGTATGTTATATTTGCTTATAAACGCTTGTCAGTCACATAAAAAAACGACGGGTTTGCGCTCCGGGAGTGCCGGCAGAAGTGAAAACTTGAATATTAACGCTGTGTATTTTTGATATTTTGGAATGGTTAGGAAATAATTTTGGACGAATTGCTTTAATTATCAGTATAAAAGTACTATCATTTATGTGGTAGAATACAATATTTATTTATTGCGCTATCCGTCTTACGATCAGGTCACGTGTCCTGACGCGAGTTTTAAATTTTTTACCCATTAAAAAAACGTGCACAACGCCGCTAAAGAAGTTTTCACTTCATGTATTCTATTTGCCTTGTACCTATGTATCAGTGTGCCGAGCGTTGGCAAGCTTTCATAAATAAATACGTAAGTTGGTGAATGTATATGACATATATTACGGCCAACCCACAACTTTTCCTCTATTTAAATAATTAATAAACTTTGAAATTAAATTGGCCTCGAATTCGTTAAAAAACATTAAGCTACCGCAACACTCATATGTAAACAGCCTAAAGCTTCGTCAACGAATTTTAATTTTCAAAGACATTCCGTCGGACGCAGATATTTTAATTGTGATAATTTAACGTTTGCTTCTAACCTTTGTGCACTCATTTGGACAGACTATATAACATATTTTTAGGCTTTCTAGTTTCGTTTGAACAGCTTTTTTATTCCTGTACTATCTGCCCTTTAAACTTCGTTTCGCCTTAATATAATTTTACTTAGCCAAGCTTTTAGTAGCTACATACCAACATATAGAACATTTTGCTATGCTACTACATTACACTATTTGTTTTTCCAGAATAGAAACTACTTTTTAGATTATTCCGTGCAATTCTTTCTAATTTTTCTCTCCGTGAAAATGTCCTTCAGAGTTTAAGGAATACAGCCATCTTGTTTGCGCTTAGCAACATATTTTGGGATTCGTTTTTATTTTTAATTTTTCATTAATTAGGTGTGTAATTTTATGTCGTCTGTAAAAAAATCAGTGGTGCATTCATGATCATTTATCAATTTAATAGGTAAGTAGGTGATCAGCCTCCTGTGCCTGACACACGCCGTCGATTTTTTGTGTCTAAGGCAAGCCGGTTTCCTCAGGAAGCTTTTCCTTCACCGTTCGAGCGAATGTTAAATGCGCACATAGACAGAAAGTCCGAAACAGCACACACAATAGTGCACAGCCGGGATCGAACCTACGACCTCAGGGACGAGAGTTGCCATGCGCTTTTACTCGGGTTAATTCGTGTGATCAAAGCCTCATTTTACACACAAAAATAAATTCAAGTTGTTCCTGAGCTTAGAGCTTTTTACCAACCTTTTCATAATATAATATTAAGTATATTTCTCTACTGAAGTAACATTTCCCGCGAACAATTAATATGTGCAGATAAGTAAAAAGTCGGCGAGTTGAAAGACACGGGCGGCAGCGTCTAATGACGGCGATTAAAATTAATTTGCCGGAGGGACTGCCAAATTAAATTCCACTCCCTCGGGACCCTCGATTGATGTCTGATGAGCGATGGCCGCTATCTTCGTTTTAATGGCCGCTACACCGCTTGTGAAAACTAGGAAAATGCTGATTTTTATAGAGTTAACTAACGAATATTTTAATTAACAATTTCTAGTTTGTGATAATTAGATTTGGTCTTATCAATTTTCATAGCTATCATATTATATTTATGTTAACAGCTCATAATGCTAACTAGTATGAGATATACATTAATTAATATTTAATTGTTTTTGAGTCAAATCAATTTTTATCGTAGCCATTTATTTGTGATCCGTCAATAATGCAACATTTTTTAAATTATTGTCGGCTCTTTGAACCAGCTGCACATGTTTTTCTGAACCAATTCGACTTAGGATCCTTCAGGAAAAGAACGTACCAATACCGGCAAATCCCTTGCGAACCTTCTGTCCATTCGGTATCACTTAAAACATAAAATACCTACTTGATTTTTAAGATCTACTTTGGATGCAAATTTCAAACCGCAAGCTTACGTAAAGCTCATTTGATTTGACAATTAAATAGTTAATGCAAGCAATTTTGTTCAATAGTAGGCATAATTAAAATGATTGATTAAAGATATCAATAATGGTGTTGCCCGCGAGCTTTTGGATACTGATATACCTTTCGTTCTTCGTGTAAATAATTATTTGTTTAATTTCGAATACTTCGTAAATTAGCACATCATCGTGAAGCCAAACATAAAATGTTTTAACCTATTTGGGTAACGAAACTTATGTATAAAGTATGTTGGTGTTACGCGGTCGCAGACGACATTATCAAACAAAGGGTGGTATGTCACGTGGGGAGTTGGGGGCTGTAACTTATTGACAAATACCACAAGCACACACGCACCATCTTGTCGCGAGGGGAGCTCAATACACGCGAGGGTTTCAACTGGAAAATTCAGTTAAATATCCCTTGGGGTTCTGAAAGCGACGCGTTCTTGGTTTTATATATACATATATATATATATGGGTTACAACGCTTTTCAAAGTTTGATAACCTAGATCGCGTATAAAAAATTACTTTGGTTTAAACAATTTCAAAAACTTACTTTTAAAACGATTATTTTCGTCTCAAAAATGTACAACTTAATTAACTAAACTAAATAATTTTCCGGTTTAAGGAACATAATTAAAATCTAGCTAAAAGAACTTTCATACAATTTGTAAGTAATAATTATAATAAATTAGAAGAAGAAGGGATAAAGAATTAATTAATTCCAAAGTTAAATCCGTCCATAGTCCGGCTCGACATAGGATTGCGAGTACCAGGCTCTCAGAAACGGTAAGAGGTATCGGGCAGTCGATAGAAGGCTGAAGGGGCGGGGTCAGGCCGACCAATCAGTGCGCACTGACCAGTGACCGCCCTCAGTCGCTGGCGGGCCGTGGAGGGAGGCACTCGCGAGGGAGGGACACTAAATCACGCTTGTCAATTACCGGCCACTGTCCCTTGCCCCTCACACCCCATTGTCACGTACGCGCGATCGATACTGATGTTACTCTAGTTACAGCCACTGTATTGTTTAATCAGAACTTGGTATATAGTTGGTTGGTATTTAGACCCAAATCGTCGATTTCTTAACGTATTGAAAGATATCTGTTTTTTCATTCTTTACCTCTTAACATTTGGATGTAGGTAGGTACTATATTATATTTTTCAACACATCTCTTTATTCTAAATAATAATAATGTATTTGCAAATATGGTACAAAAATGTTGTGGTGGTACAGTCTAAAGGTCGCATATTCTGTCACACATGAAGGCGTGCAAATTTGACTTACAAGGTAGAATTTTACATAGAAGTTACATCTGTCAATTCTTATATAATTTTATCACTACATCATCACATTATTAAAATATATTACGATATCAAATAAAATTATTATACACCTTGATTGCTATACAAAAGGTGTTTTTCCTATAAAATTCCAGATTAACTTTTGGCATAGCCAATTACTCGCCATGTCTACTTCGACAGTGGTCCATAAAATAATAATATAAAAAACTTTACGTAAACACATGTCCGTATTTATTTCCGAAAGCATTTTTAAAGCAAATAAGTATGTGGCTATCAGTAAAATCTTATCAAATACAAATTATTAATCATTGTATCGCTGGATCAGATAAACGGGTTCATTTATAACAATCAGCCGCCGTCGGAACTCCGCGTGTCTTCATTAATCATAGCGTAGCGTTGTGACCCCGTGAATAAACAGTTTTTATCTTATACCTGACATATTATATTATATGTTTACTATACCTTATTCATAATTAATTAATTAACTTACTCTGTAATTGTGTTTACGCTGCTATGACGAGACAGTCTACATACTGATTTTTTTAAGTGTAAAACTTCTTTAGGCGCATGAGGGTAAAATTTTGACGGAACGTCACGAATATGTGCAGCGTTTTTCTTTAAGAAAAGGGAGAGAGCGATTGAGACAGATTGATAGAGAGTGAAATGGTGAATAGAAATTATATTTTTAAAATTAAAATTTCGTAAAGAGAATTTATGAAATATTAGATAGTATTTTATATTTTATGAAAAATAATTTATTAAAATCTCAAATGACGAATTGTAAATTATGTTTTTATTATCGAAGAAATAAATTTATCATTTGTATTAATTTTCGACACTTTTAATTTTTTAATGACAGTTAAATTTCTAACATTCCTTTTTCCCTCCCTCTGAGTCTCAGAAATCTAAAGTTTTAGATTTGTATAAATATATGAACAAGAGTTAGAAATTAGTTTGCCAAAGAAGTTTCACTTCTGACATACCTATGTACTTTGTACGCACGTACTTCTTTTTTAGTTTACTTGGTTTACCCCGTTTGTTCACCAGATGACCTATCTGAATTAACTAATATTTGTTTGGCATACTTAAATACAATATAATAGTAATAGTAAATCTTTAATTGCAACACTCAAATATACAGTATTTACAATTTTCTTAACACACATTTGTTCAGACAGTTACAAAATGGAAAACTTGTATGATGTTTCCACTTTTTGCCTTTTATTTTTCTTATTCTGATATCACTGATTCTTCTATGCACTCTAAACAAATAAATACATAAGTGATCAGCCCTTTTCTTCACTTAATTATACTTTCAAAAGGTAGTTAGAAAACAAACAATTTAAAAATATTAATGTGCTGTTTAAGTTAACATTATCGACTTTATTTATTTCGTATTCCTACAACTAACATAAATTATATACTACAAAAACCAATTAAATTAAAGATATAGCCAGAAATGGAATACATAATATATGGAAAGGAAAAATAAATAAAAATGATTAAATACGCAATACCTATTTCGGCTGTGCTGTGTGATGGTGTGAAGGTGAGGGTGTGTATGTGAGGTGTGCTCACTGCTCATATTGCAGGTGATTTAGCTCCATGGATATCCGTAATTCCTTTTAAGCATATTCCGCGATAGCTTAAACAAGCCTAGGCTTAAATATTGGTCGTTGTATGTCCGGGCTGTCCGATACAATACTGAGGTTTTGCATAGTTGGTGTTGATGTGTTATAATAAATAATTTCTTTGTCCCCAGGCCTGGAAGCACAAGTGCAGGACACGTCTAAAGACCTCTACTGGTTCTGAGCGACTACGACTGGTCGCAAGTCGCAGCGGCTGATCGCAGATAAGTCGTTAGGTGGTGAAGTGCGCGACAAAGTGAACTCTGAAGGCTGTAAAAGACATTAGTTTTAGCTTTAGTTTTGTGTTGTGTTCTCGCATTTGATTATATTTTTGCTAATCGAACATCCGACTTAATAAGTGCAGGATAATATCTATTAAGAACATTTTGGGTTCTTGAATATACTAAAATTAAATTAATATATACAAAAAACAACCTTTGTTTATGAAAAAAGGTATAGTTGCGGATAGTTCCCCTTAAGGGGCACAAGTAACTACGACTACTATTATTTTTGATAGGGATTTTTATTTGCATCATTATGTAGGTATAATGAAAACAGTATAATTTAAACTCTAGTCAAGTCAAATCATTTATTTCATATTAAAAATGCACATTTGAAAGACAAAATAAGAAGCTAAAAATATTTTAAAAATATGACTCTAGTTATTCCTTCCAAAAGGTAGCTTCATATGGAGAAGAATGGGCAAGAAACTCCACTCCACTCTTTTCAAATAGTTTTTACAATATTATTGGATATGTGAAGACCTGTATTGTGGTGTTCACAAATTTACACATTTTGCAACAAAACATTATTCTTTATAAAAAAAAGAAATAATTAATAAACAATGTGAGCTACGTCAAAGTAGAATTCTTGAAGAAGAGAATAAACAAAGTAGAATTCTTGATTCTCTTCTTGAGAAAAGTTGAATTCTTTAAAAAAAGCAAATATAACCTATAAACTAGATTAGCAACCAGTTGATTTTGTCTAATTTGATTGTCCTATGGAGCAGGACCAGCATGTTTCCAAGCGTTTTTGTCTTGAATATAATCCTCTAATTTGTAATATGCTTGTGAAGAAAAAGTACTTAGTTATTTCGACGCTCGAAAACAACAAGACATTGAGGTATGCAGTACTAACAATTATCGTAAAGTTTCGGCAGGGAAATCCCTAATATAGTATATTCAGAACCGGGGCAAGTATCGGCAGTATTTCCTGTATTCCGATACTCACGCGTTGAGTTCTGGAGTCATCGGGTCTAAATAGAAAAATATAGTTTTGCAATTTTTTAGACTATAGTAATTATTCTCACAGTTAATTCTTCAATGATTTCGCCAGTAGAACTTAACTACATTTTGCTTTCTTTAGTCGCGTTCATTACTGAAGGTCGCGTTGGTGATGATCTTCCTCCATTTCCCCTTTTTTAGTCGATCCTTGGAATAGGGAATCGGAATCTCGTGCCTTCCACTATGCCAGTCGCAACAAGCGTCTCCAAGATTTCTGGATCTCTGCCTGTTATATGTCGAGGTCATGATCCTTTGGTTACCAAAGTTGTTACTGATTGTAATGTTAACACATTACCTAACAATAACAACCGTTATAATGACAATAATAATAGTTCTTGTAATTCCCGTTAGATGTCGCGTGGGCCAAAGATAGGGTAGATTCAGTATTTCTAAATCTTACTTTTAGAGGGTATTAATTCCTATATTAAAAACAAACGTTTTGACATTTTAGATTATTCCAAAAATGTCTCTTTTATTGGTTAATGTTATTTTCGTTGAGATATAAGTCTAACAGAATTCTAAATCCCTGTAATAAACCATCCATAACGATTGCTACCAGTAATTATACTTACCTACGGATCGTTATTACTACTAATATTTGAATATTGTATTCAAAGAAAATATTTATCCGAACAATATAATCCCGTAAATCTGTTATTAAAGTGTAATAGAAAAATTCTTTACAAAAATCTATTTCCAAGCAAACAAAATCGTTCAATATAAGAAAATTATAAACGAAAAATACAGAAACATATTTTAAAATCGTTTTTGGTCGTTACAAACATAAACTGAGGTAATTACAATACAATGGCGCGGCCAGGTGGTGGTCAAGTGGTCAGAGGGTCGCCGGTTCGATTCCCGATTCTTTTTGCGAATTGACAGCTCGATGAATAAAATAGTAGGAGCAGGTGGGCACGCGACTATCACCTTTCACCATTGGAGCGTGGAACTTATTACTACCGACTACTTTTTAGGATGATTGAACAATCAAATGTTACTAGACTAGACAAAAATTTATGATTTGTAGCAATTACGATTGCGTTTTTTCTTGTGTTCTGGATTAAATCACGCATTTTAGGTATTTAGTTGTTTTATATATTTTCCCTACTAAAAAGAGACGTATATAATACATAGCCGTACTCAGAAACGATTACTTAAGCAACAAAATAAAGATTGATAAATAAGTTCATTACAGATACAATTGAAAGTTTTAATAAGCTTAAATCTATCATTAAGTATTTATACAGTAAAGTAATCAAGCTAAATTAAAGTCACACTGAATACACATTTCATACCCTTGAAATTCCAGGAAATGATTAAAGAGCTTTAAATTTGATCAAATGCGAGAACAGGTGCAATATAGCTAATTCGGTAGATATAGACATATGTAAATATATATACCTGATATATATCTAAGCTAGTCTAGTGTACATAGATAAGATTAGTTAGATAATGGGGGACCGGCGCATAATACAATAATTTCCGTTTTAGTCTTGAGCCAAGATCTGGGGCCCGCCATAATAAATGTTTTAAATTTCTCTCTCGTCATGAGCGAAGCACGAAATCATCGTTTTGAATTTTTTTCTAGGTTTTGATACTCATCCGTTGACCATGAGTATACGTTGAATGGCTTTTAATTTATTTATAGAATGAATTAGACAATTCAGTTACGGACTCGCGGTAAACGTTTATGGTAGACCCCAGTATTTTTGCCTCTTTTGCGTCTTTAATTGACGCTTGTCAATAAATTTATGTCTGGCTATAAATTATTTAGACTTATACCGATTACCTGATGTAATACATATACAGTTAAGTAGTTATACCACGTAATATTATGAATGTGCAATAAATGTATATACCTACCATATAACAGGCAACAGCCGGTTCTCGCTTAGCCCGCAAGTATTAAAAGTTCTGTAATTTCGTTGTTATTAGTGTGATTCACAAATTATTAAAAAAAATATTATTGAACGAATAATTGATCAAGACAAAACCTAGTCTAATGAAGTGAAATCATAAAGAATCTCTTTCCGTCAAATTGTGTCTACGCTACGACACAGTATTCGCCAGTAGTCAACTGTTTTATTATACCAACTGATTTAGTTTTTATGAGTAAAGGTGTAAGGGCATTTAAATTGGATTTTAAGTGGACAATGGCGCATGTACAGAGTAGCAAAATGCCTAAAATAATTCTCAAAAATAACTCAACCCAAATTACGTGCCACTATCGAGTAAACGAAAACTATCACGTATCTCAAGAATAATGACACCAAATAATTGTATCCATTTGCATCTCAGTATTATGGTTTAATATTATATTTCGTAGAGGCGATAGTTTTCGTCCACTCGAGTTTAATTATTTTAGAGGCGTTTGTCAATTCCTGTGAATTCCTCTCGAATAAATAACTAAATATAATATATGAGTTCACTATTATCATTTGTATACAGTATGTATCTCTTGAGATATTCCCCAATTAAACTGATAACGAAAACTATATAGAGCTACATATGTTTAGTTATCTTTATAACATAACTAAAGAAAGGACTTTCAATATTGTCTATTGTCTGTAGGTACTCTAGTTATTTGTAATATATGTACATCAAAGTTTATATCTTATAAAACCTGTAAACAATAGCATTATAAATATTTGTTAAATTGTGCCGACATATATATATCTGTATTATAATCGCATTGTATTTGTTAAAGCTTCAACGAGCGGGCTCAATAAATCTAATATGAAAAACTGATAATTTATTTTATTTCATGATTAACATAACATTTAAATGCCTACTTACGACCAAGAAAACCACTTTTTTAAATCTAATAGGAGGCAAACGGGCCAGAAGCTCACATGATGTCAAGCGATACCGCCGCCCATGGACACTCACATTGCCAGAATGCTCGTTAGTGCGTTGCCGGCCTTTTAAGAAATGGTACGCTCTTTTCTTGAAGGACCCTAAGTCGAAGTCGAAATCCTTCAATGGGCAGCTGGTTTCACATAGTGGGGGTACGCGGCAAAAACTGCCTTAAGAAACGCTCAGTTGTGGAACGACGGACGTCGAGGTGATAGGATGGTATTTTGTATTATGCCTTGATAATGAAACTTGCTCAATTTTCATCTATCCGCAATTTTATCGTTATTTTCATTCAATGTAATTGATACGCTAGCAGCATGCATAGCGTATGCAGTAAATGTATAGCGTTGTAAAAATTCATAAAAATATGTTTTAACTCTAATTTTAGATATTTTTAACAAAATTTAAGGCTTCTTTCTGAATCAAAAAAATATCTTTGCTTAGAACTTTAGTCGTGGTCGTACTCTGTGGCCAGAGTACTAGAACAATAGAAGTGTTTTTATCTCTCGCTAACACCGTGCAAATTCGATCTTACACGACGCTGTTCCCGCTCTTACAGTCTTTTTCTAAGAAGACTGTTAGAGCGGGCTCAAGCCATGCTCTCACTTTGCAAGGTCATGTAAGTGACGGCGAACAATTACTCCACCCCTGTCTTCGGTTAGACTTACCACTTGGGTGGTGGTAAGACTTTTAGAGGTCTTAACTTAACTTGATCGGTACTAGTTACTATAAGTTTCTCTATATTTTCTAGGTTAAGGTGTAATATATCCAAAAATTTCAGGTTCTGTTGGAAACAAATTTCTCTTTGAGGTAACAAAATGCCCTAGACATATTTTGAACTTATCTACTCGTGAAAGCAGCCGCACAAGATGTAGGCCAAATAATTTAAAAATATATATATATTCGTACCGCTGAATTTGAACAAAATAATATTTATGATTTACAAGCAAACAGACATTTGTATATAATAAGTATGGTTATTGATATTATTTATTAATTTTAATAAAATAGATGAAATTCGAAGGTATAATTCGCTTGTCCCAGG